AAATCTTTATCACATATAGTCAGTGTATTCATGTACTGTTTGAATCATGTATGATCAACAGCTTGGGTAAGATAATGGGGTCCCACTGGAGGTGTCAGTATGTTCTATAGCTAGTTGGAAAGTTTTGGACCCTTAGTGGATTGATGGGGTCTCTAGCTCACCTAGAAAGTTTTATCCTCTTAATTTGAAGGATCGGGTTACAAAAGGGATTGATAAATTATCTCATCTGGCACATTTCATAAATCTGTGGTCTTCAGTGATAGGCAGGATCCCTCCAAGGATTTTTCTTAAAATCCCAAGTGGGAAGCCATCTGAAATTTTTAGTATGTAGGGTTCAATCTGGGATTGGCAGGATCCCAGGTGTGATCCCACCTGGGATATGATTTCCCAGGTGGGAAACTATCTGAAATTTGAGGCAGGATCCCAGGAGGGATTGGTGGGATTTTAGGTTTAATCCTGCCTGGGATGTGATTTCCCCAGGTGGGATGCTATCGGGAATCTATGGCAGGATCCCAACTTCAATTGGTGGGATCCCATGCAGGATGTTCCATAATCCCAGGTGGGATCACTTGGGATCCCACCTAAAAAAGGTGGGATTCCTAATGGGACACACCTGGGATCCCAGGTGGGATTGGCAGGATCACACCTTATATTTTTACCTGGGTTCTACTGGCAAAATTTGATGTTTTCATATCATATTATCATAAAATGAATATAGTATATTGACTAAGGATGTCCGATGTTACCATGTCACATCAATAAAAAATGCGTTCATAATATAATAAAAGAGAAAGAATTCTGAGAAAACTGAAGAGAGTTGTATTCCAAGAAATAAGCTCATATTTTTGGTTTTTTATGTAATATATTAATATAAATGGATTCAGAAGAAATATATTCAGACAGTGATTACAGTGGTTATTCAGATGATTGTTCTAAAAGCAGTTTTAAAGATAATAGTGAACTAGACCATGATGCTCATTACTTTGATGAGCAGGACAATATAAGACATTTTACAGACAGTAATATATTGGAAGCAGAAGAGGAGTAACAAAATATAAAAAACGACTTAAGGAAACCAAGGACAAACTGCAAATAATTAAAAAAATAATCTCTTATAATATTATGATATAATGCATTGTAATAAAATAATTCATGCCAAATTGGAGGATATAATGTGTCCCTTCTGTAACAAACAAATAAAGGAACAATCAGTCATTACATAAAAATTTTGTGATGATCAATGCCTAGAGAATAAAGATCATGTGATTGTTTGCATCAATTGCGGACAAATTGATGGTTATGATTCAATACAAGAATTCTGTAGCTTTCATGATAACATAAAATAGAAAGAATATCAATACACCACAGAAAATACAACCTTGAATAGGGAATCTTCAACTTAACAAAAAAGTATGACAGCTATAAAACGGCAAACAACAGAAATAAGATAAACAATGTCTTAGCACAGATCAAAGGTGATAGAAAACGCATGATTAACATCAATTTTATCATGAAACAGATGTTAAATGATATGCAAATTACTACAGTACATAAAAATAACCAAATCAAAGAAAACCCTTGAATACTATCACAACTATTGGATCAACATTTTGAAACTAATTGGTAATGACTGCAATTTTATCATGAAACAGATGTTAAATGATATGCAAATTCATACAGATTACGTAAAAGTAACCAAATCAAAGAAAACCCTTGAATACTATCGCAGCTACTGAAGCAATATTTTGAAACTAATTGGTAATGACTGCAACACAATAATTAATCACAAGTAAACTTCTCTTTATACTTTTCTTCAAAAGAATCAACTAATGGACACAGGTCTATGATAATATTATCCACAATTTTTAATTGGTTCAAGTAAATCTCTTTATCAAATCACACTCCTCACATAAAGGATCTTAATGCAATAAGTGTCTTTTCATGGGTAGTAAAAGGACATCGACATAATTTGATCTTTTTCTTTTAAAGTCTTTCATTTTACAGTATGTTTTCAATATCAACCCACTGCCTACTATAATGCCAAGTACAATGGGATTCATTGTTACTCCTCCAGCTATAATACCAGCAATTATTAAATAGGTTGATGATAAATTACATAACATATTCAGTTTTTTTAATCTCTCAAAGACTTTTCTGTATAGCCAGAACTTCTTATGGTAGAAATTTGCTCAGTGATGTTATTTCATCTATCTTATGCTTACCCTAGGATTTGTCTATATGGTTGAAGTTTATAACACTCCTCTGTTTGAAGCTCATGTGTAATATATGTTTATACTAATTTAACCAGTTTTTTAGATAAGAGGTTAACCATAAACTAACCCATATAATTGTTCAGAATTGTTTTGTGAACTCATTCTTCTTGTATCACCTTTTGCCACATTGGTTAACTGAAAAATACTTATATCTAATCATTTATTGTTTGTGTTTTCAATATTATTGATGTCTTGGGTTGTATATTATAAACGTTTGGTCAACGAGCTCTGATAAGAGCTCCTGATCCCAAACCCTAACCCTAACCCTAACCCTAACCCTAAAACCCTTCCAAACGGACGACACCCTGGAAATTGTCTCAACACTACTTGTGGATGATATGTCAACTGATGAGTGGTCAATAGATGCAGAGAGGAAGTATAATTCAAATACCACTTTATATTCACCAGTTGTAAGTTCATACATATTTCACTCAACATGAGATAAATAATACCCTTTGCTGGAATCCAAATGGAGTTTCATTTCATATTTTTTTATTGCAGTGATGAAAGTTTTGATCAATAAATTTAACCCTGGTAATGTCATCCTCGTCACTGAACTGCCCACTTTTATTCATGATGTATGCAAATATATATTTCTGATCTGTAATGCTAATAGAATGATTTCATCTGTCATTAACACACTACTGATAATTGGTGGTAATGATTGCATTACTGTTACTGATAATTGTATTGACAAAATTAACATTCGCAGCATGTCTGCTTTCATGTGATTGTGCCTCTTTGACATTAATTACATTGATTCATTAACATTTTTCGTGATGAATTTTCTTGGTTTATAAGTATAAAGGAATGAAAATGGCTCTTCAGTGGCTTTTGCATACTGTTGTTTTGATATGTTATTTTCACGGCATATGAGTGATTTTTCATTGTTGCATGGGAAATGAAACAAACAAAAATGCGAGCAAAAGTCAAATTGTTTGGCGTTTTATAATATGACTGACTCTGATACATCATACTATAGTTTTCATGTCTGCCTCTGATGAAATAATCGATTATATCCTTTTGGTTTTTTTCACAAATGTAATCATCAAATAATACCAATTTTTGATTGTCATTGGTCAACCCAGACACTGGAATTATTTTGTCATTACTTGATTCAATGACCTCGTAACCAGCTTCATCACTTATTGGTTGAAATGTTCTTACAAGGCTTTGGTATTTTGACTGTTCGAAATTTTTAGCATACAAAAATATTTTATCATAATATAACAATTGATAGATCATATAGAGAAGTAGGTTTGTTTTACCAGTACCACAAGGAGCATATGTAAGCATTCTAAAACATCGATCTGGCATAAAGTCCTACATTTGTTTATAATTCGTGACAGCATCATCTCTTATGTCGAAATTTGGTATTTTTATTATACAATAAGATTACATAAATTCATTTTAACTATGAGTACACCTGTCAGTTCATCTCAAATTTTTACTTGTCATTTGTGGAATTATGTAATCTAATTGCATACGAGTTTGCTTCAATGGCGAGCACTTGCAAAACGGAAAAACCGATTTAGGCAAGAAAATTAATTTTGTAAATGACACAATTTTAAAAAATCAATCGGGAGAGAGAACAAGTCAAACATCTTTTCAGAAAATGTTCCAACCAATAACCGCAAAATTGGATGACATATCGGATAATGCAGTTATTGGTGATAATAAATTAACAAAAAGAAAGTGAAAAAGGAAAGGTGAAGCTCCTAACTATAATATATCAGTTGAGGATGAAATTCCAGATTATGAATTCGAAGCTAATTTGATTAATCCAATGATGGTGTTCCAGAGTTACCATCAGAATATGAAGAAGATGAAGAGATTGACCATGTTCTTAATGGAGAAGATCGTTAATATGGTATTAGATGAGATGGATATTAAAAATTATGATGATACAGAGAAACAACAAAAAAGGGATGATATGACAGATACTCGCACTAAGAAATTCTCACAAAAAATATAAATCAAGCAAAATTTAAAAGTAATCAATTAAAAGATGTTAAATCCCAGATCATTCAATCGTATAAAAATGTAAAATTTAAATGAAGGATAACGAAATATGAAAATCAAACGATCAAATGAGTAGATGACGCCAGAGTTCCGACAGTGGTTCAACCTTCAGTGAGATGATATTTGTACCTGGAGTGTGGAATTATTTAAGGATTAAAGAATTTATTCATTATAAAACAAAATCGAGAAATCTGATGGTACTATTGAATATCCAATTATCATTAGATTTGAGAGGTTCTGATTACTCTATATATAATGTATATAGTAATGACACAGCTTTATATAATTTATTTAAAACTATCGGAAAGCAAGAAATGAATCTCAGTGGTGCTTATTGAGACTGCATAAAAATGCATTGAATTGACCTGATACATTGTGTGCCAAAAAATATTGTCAATAAACTGAATAAGAACCGCAATTTAAATAAAAGTATGGATATTTGACTCGCAAAAACAAACATATGAAAACAAGTTAGTTGATTAATGTTGATAACAATTCTATCACTTGGAGGAACATAAGTTCTGACTATCGGTAAAACAGTTGGCCTTTCTGCTTTAGCTGGATTGGCTTCTGGAGATGCTTCTCGAATAGTTAAAAAAGATTTTCGGAAATGGAATACAAAATGGTGGGTTTATCATCCTCCAAAATAAAATTGATCAGTTGATAGCATATTAGCAATTACTGAAAAATAAACAGAAGCAAGACATGTTGAACAGTCTTAAGACGGGTGGGGCATTTGTGATAAAACCATCTAAGACACGTTCAGGTAGATTTTTGGGATCTCTTTTAGCAAGTATGGCGGAGGTTCACCTAAAACAGGTTCATTTGGAAGCATTAGAATGTCACAAAGAAAAGTTCTGAGAAGTACAACAAAATCAAAATCAAGCACAAGCAATAGCACTAAAAATAAAAGTGGGACTGGAGCACCAAGATTAGGTATGCATCAAGCAACTCCACCGTTTCTTGGATCAAGACCGAAAGACACTATTGGTATGGGAAAAGAAAACCAGACAAAAAGATGTTTGGTATAACTAGAACCAAATTTGTAAAGCAGGGAAACTAAATGAGCCCTCACAACCTGGGGGTGGATTTTTAGATGTTGCTAACAACTATAGCCTTGGTAAAATAGCATTAAAAGCTGGTATGAAAGGTTTGTTTAATCTTGGTAGGATTGGTACTTCAGAGGCTATCGAATCTGATTTTGCAAAAAAGAAGATAAAAGGAATGGCTGACAAATACATTGATCAAGTCCTTGATATTTTCACTTCTAATGTATCAAAAAAAAATAAATCATGGTGGCAGTCTTTATATCCACAAAGTAATTGCTAAATTGCCAAAACCAAAATCAGGTTTCACACTTCCTGGACATAAATACACAAGACCATACAACCCTCTTGACAAACGACTGAGATATGATAAAGATACTGGTGAAATACTTGAGATCCATGATAAACCAACTGGAAAAACAGATCCTATCGCATTGCAACATGATGTTGACTATTCTGTGAGCAACGATGACAAAAAATGTAAGAATAAAGCAAATAGAAAAATGGTGAAAGCACTTGATGCAGTACCTTATAATGAAAGACAGTGGGGTCATTGGTTGGCAAGAAATATGATATGGAGGGATTTCACTCGACGGCGTGTTATTGTTAATGATGTTGATGAGATGTGGAGTGCAGATTTGGTTGACATGCAGAAATTTAGTAAATGGAACAAGAGGTATAAATATATGCTTCTGGTTATTTGATGTTTTCAGTAAATATGGATGGATAAAACGTCTAAAAGATAAGAAAGGTGAAACGTGTGGCTGAGGCATTCAACAGCCTGTTCAAAGAAGGAAGGAAGCTGGAATATCTGTGGGTTGATAAGAGTAAAGAGTTCTATTACAAGCATCTCAAGGATTTATTAAACGAAGACAGCATAGGAATGTACTCGACAGAAAATGAAGAAAAATCCAGTGTTGTTGAATGATAGAATAGAACAATAAAACAGAGAATGTGGAAACAGTTCACAGTTCAAGAGAACACACAGGATCTTAACAAACTTCCACAAATATCGACAAAATACAACAACACAAAACATTCAAGCATTGAAATGACACCAACAGATGCAAGCAAAAAGAAGAATATGGGAACTGTTTATTTCAACACTTTTGATGATATGCATGCAACTAAGAAACCAAAATTCAAAGTTTGTGATAAGGTGAGAACATAAAAATACAAGATAAAGACATTTGACAGGGAATACACTCCATATTGGACAGAAGAGATGTTTATAGTTGACAAAGTTTCGTATGCTAAAAATATAAAATAAAAGGCTAGAATAATGAAGAAATAAAAGGAAGTTTCTATGAGCCGAAATTATTGAAAGCCACACAAGAAGTTTTCAGAATTAATAAAGTCAAAAGAAGGGATTACAAGAAGAAACAAGCTCTTGTGAAATGGAAGGGATATGATTATGATTTCTATAGTTGGATACCAATTAAGGATTTGATCAATATATCATAAAAAAATATAAAAATATGTTACTAATAGATAGTATTCGGCGACCACAGCCTCAGCTGTTCTTTCGCCATTATGTGGAGTAGTCAAAAATGGATTTTTATGACAAAAATGGATTTTAAAAAATAACAATATAATAACTTTCATTGAAAAGGTGTACAATAACAATGAATTGACTCTTGAATTAACAGCTTATGTTGATGAAAAACAATATATGATTCAAGGGTATAGAAGTGGCCGAGATACTTGGTTATGCTAACACAAGACAAGCTATTTTGGCTCACGTTAATGATGAGGAGAAAATCTCACGGAGTCTGATAGTCGGATGGCGTGCTAAGACTAATGAAAATAAAAAATCGTGTACACTTCATACCATATTCATCAATGAAAATGGTTTTCATTCTCTTAGATAATCAAGTAAACTAGAATCAGCTAAGAAGTTCAAACACTGGGTTGCAAGTAAGGTTTTACCAAATATCACAAAATATGGTCAGTACAAGTTATTTGAATATGTAACAAAACATATTTCTTTCACTTTTTCATCACATCTTAGGCAAACATATTCAAGTTATTTGATGATATGTTTAAAATAGACTGATTTACATTACGAGGTGGTTGCATTCATCAGAAAAGGATATCTTGACACTATCATTATCGCTCAATGTGGCGAGAATAAAGATACTACTACTAGAAAAAGGGATAGGATACATGGCTGAGTAGCCAGATATTAAAAATATAAGAAGATTGGTTATAAATGTATGATATGCAATGGTTATGACGACATCATATGTTCCATTGTTGAATTCATGATAGGTGTTAGAATAAGGTATGATCATTGTAATTACCAATTTAAAACAGATAAAATATTAAACAATTATGTAAAGTATTTTCATAAGATTATTGAAGAATAAAGCCATCGGAAATAAAATCATTTCTGACCGGAAGCTTAAATCCCGTACAGTGTACGGGAAAGCGTTATAAACGTGATTTTCACAATATCTAACTGCTAATGAATAATGGTTGGTTCATTTGATTGCACTTATTTCTTTCACTTTTTCATCACATCTTAGGCAAACATATTCATTTTTCCCCATTTCAATGAAAGTTTTTTCTTTTCTTCCTCTGATAATAAGCCTTTCTTCAGAGCGGGTGAAGAGGGGCTCACGCTTGACACGTCGGCTTTAGAGTCAAAGTATCATTGGAAAAATGCCTCGCCAGACATGCATCATAATTCATAAAAGTTAGATTAAATGAATTTGTTTGACTTATCGAATTCTTTTACCTTGGAGGAGGCAGTGGAGGCTTCAAAGTAAACTCTTCAATTCTGCGTCTTTATCATGAACACTACGAAGTCATCCGAAAAAGCACTTCCTAGCCGCAGTATTGACTAGAATGATTTAGCATAAGTACAAAATACAATATCTCACTCGTGAGTTCTGGAGAGGGTGTGGATATTATCAACTTAAACGATTTATTTGAACGATTCTCTTGTCACGCCATTGGGGTGTTTCCGGTGTACCTATTGTTTATGAGAGATGAATATAAACAAGTACCGAAACAATAAAAATTATTATGCCAGTTCCTGCACCAAGAACTAAAATAGAAGAGAAAACCAAAGCTTTGAAAAGATACACAAAATCATTTGAAATAGCCATCAGAAACGATTCAGATCCTTTAAAACGGAATACTGAAACAAGAAAAGCCATTGCATACAGACTAAAACAGGCGATGCAACAGATGAAAAGTTTTAAATTTGTTGAAACACTAAGCATGGCATTTGAAAAGATAACACAAGATGGTCTAACAACCAAAACAGCTTAGTTGAACAGCTCACTAAAAACGGTCCTAATGTGTTTGATTTAGAAGACGATTTTAAAAGTTCCAGCGAAGAGATAAACAACAAGATAGCCATATATGAAATATCTTGATTTCCATTACAATTACATCAAAGGCAAATACCACGACGAGGCAAAATTATTATTCACAGACACCAACATTTTGTCATATCAAATAGAAACAAATGATGTTCATAAGGATTTTATAACAGCGCGTAAAGTTGTCTAATCAAATTCAATTGCGTGAGCGTGCTTCATATTCCTCTTGTGCACGCTCACGACGTCAGCAAACAAATCCCTCGAGTATTGTTTATTCAATCAGAAAATTAAGTTCATTTACACGCATGAATTCACCTGTCAGTTTTTTGACCAATCTAAGACAAGATCGTGAACAAAATTATCAACGCGCTGAGGCATAGCAGAGGGAATATTAACCCTTTTACAACATTCAAACCATCGGGTTGAAAATGTTATAAAATAACTGGTTCATACGTCGCCTCTGCTTTCATCGAGATATGAAGCACTTGGGAAATTTGGAGAGTTCTCAAGAAGTTAGAGTTGCTCGAGGCGTAGCCGAAACAACCTTGGGCATTTAAAAAAATGTTATTAAAAGACATATTAAACACAACGACTATAAAAATACACTGTTCAACGACGAAAAGATGTATCATAAAATAAAAACTAGTAAAAGAAAAATCCATCAGCTTGGCAGTTACGAGCTGAAAAAAGTGTCATTATCTTGCTTTGATGACAAGCGTTACACTACTAAACACAGAAAGAAACTTTTAAGAAAACTTTACTTTAAAAATATATTTTTTAAATGGAAAATGTTTTTCCCATTGTGTAAACAAAATTTGAAGCTTATAATTAGTTAAAAAAGACAGACCAACAATGACTCATTTCCTTGGGAAAGTTCCTGTTTGAAGGACACCAACGCGTGAGCAGTATGCCAATTTCTACTGGCGTTACGTGATTGAATCTTCCTTTAAGATATTATGAGGGAATTTTATATTAACGTGAAATGGTAACATCGAACATATTTTTTCAATATACTATAAAAATTTTACGATAATATGATATGAAAACATCGAATGTCGGCAGTAGGATAGGAGTTGGGTGGTTGGCGCTCCTACCCCCAATTGGTATGCTACTTTTTTCGTTTAAGTTTCGTTCCATATGACATACTTTTCAAGTGAGTCTCTAAGAACTGCTTCGAACGCTCTTCTGCCCATTGCATCTTGACTGAGTTAATGATGTAAAATGACCACCGTAAAGAGATTTTGAAGCTGACGTTTCGAGCAACAGCCCTTCTTCAGAGTGAGTGAAGAGGGGCTCACGCTTTACACGTCAGCTTTAGAGTCAGACATGCATCATAATTCACAAAAGTTAGATAAAATGAACATGTTTGACTTACCGAATTCTTTTACCTTGGAGGAGGCTGTGGAGGCTTCAAAGTAAACTCTTCAATTCTGCGTCTTTGTCAAGAACACTACAAAGTGACCCGGAAAAGCACTTCCTACCCTCAACAGTGACTAGACTGATTTAGCACAAGGACGAAAGACAATATCTCACTCGTGAGTTCTGGATAGAGTGAATATTATCATCTTAAACGACTCTCTTGAATGATTCTCTTCTCACGCAATTGGGGTGAAGGAGATCACGAAGATCCACGCATGTGAAATCAGTATGATACCGCTGGGCAGTAAGACAGTAACTGTCGTGAGAATTAGGAAGAGGGGGATTATGGGTTGTAAGTCTCTTTCGTTTGGGATAAGGTTACTTCGGAGAGTGCGCGGAGTGCGCGGGCGTCTTTTCCTATAATTTCCCTAATAATGTTTCGCAAAAAGCCTTCCACGATGCTAACGATCCACAGGACAGTTATGGTTATGAGTGTGGGGGTATATGTTAACGGACGGAGCAAGAACGATGAGGGAAGAGAAACGCTCTTTGTATCAAAAGGGGTTGTCTGTTAAGTTTAAACTATAGAATTCCATAAATGGTTTGAACCTGGGGGTAACATTTAAAATTGCGTAGTCTAGTCGTCCTAGTGAGAGTAGTCCTGAGGGAGACTACTGTTGTTAGCTGTGACTTCCGCTGAGGTTTTCCAACCATCATTCACTACTTACAATAGAAGTCCTTCTCAGGAGTACTCTTAAAAAGACGCTATTAACTCTTATGAATTTGGCTCAAAACTCGTTAAAGTCGACTAACTGCGCTTCAAAATACGAATAATCCAGTTAAATAAAGCGTACAATCACCAAATATAAAGCAGAAATTATTACTGAAGGAAGCGTTTTTAAAAATATAAAATATAAAAATGAAATCACATTGGCAATTACGTAACTAAGGTGAGACATTAAACGAAGTGAAAACCTATTGCTGGTGTGCGTCGTCTATACAACTTAAAAGATCCTGATTTCAGCTTGCAAAACTATCTTTTCAGTATTTCAAATCGAAGCAAACACAAACAGGGTTGGATAATTATGAAGGCCACACAAGGAAATGTATATGGTACAACTTGTTTATCGATGGAAATGCTTCGGAGATGAAGGAAAGCAATACATAAATATCTCATAAAGAACGGGCACAACCTCCAGTGCTGTAAGACATAAATAACTAAGATCTGCATTAACATATACCTTTGTTTCTCTCAAAGGTTTGGCGGTTTTAATCCAGTGTAAGGCGATCCAAAATCCGCTGGAAAAATGTTTCGGATATTGTTTAACGCACAAGATGGCACAGCGACCCTGAAGTGTTTGCCGAGATATTCCCAACACTAACGAACAAGCTATCTGTAAGCAATTAAGCGAAATTTCCTGCCAGGAAAGAAGCGGAAAACAACTAGCTCTTGTACTGTATTATTAAATCAATGGCAGAAACAACCCAAGCAAATCGATCTCAAAATGTAACAAAACAGATGAAACAGAAAACATTTAGCTTACTCGTTTCCGGTGTGATTATCTGTGCCTTGCTGCTGCCTGTACGCGTAATTGGCCGTCTTCAGCACCCAGAAATCAAGGCAAATTGCCTGAAAACCTGGATGCTAAGTGATACAACTTATCTGGGTTTCAGGCCCTTGCTCCTCTACTTTTTGCCACAATTGCCCGATTTCCGTACAACAAACACTTTCACTTTCCAGAAGATTCTGGATTATCCCCATCGCTGTCATGTACTTAGCTTAAGGCATTCGAGTCGCTATCTTCTGAAAAAACATCTTCCAAACTACCGCTGCTTACACGAACTCCCACACCAGTTCTACTGGGGAATATGTGTTGCGCAATATTTTAGTTCCACCGCTTACGTCACGACTTCTCGCTATTGTTTTTACCGGAAATGGAATTTCAGTTGAAAATACCGATTTTCTCCTAAAATAAGTCGAATAGGACAAAACGAATTTCAAATTCGTTTTCTACGCCACTTTTTACATAGTATATGAAAAACATGTATTTTTGGGTTTACATGCCCTTTAAAGGGACTTCATCCGCTGAAAATTAGAAAAACGTGTAACTTCATCGGAAACGTAATGCATGCTTAGAAAGGAAAAAAACCCTCATGGATCTAAGATACCAAAATTTGGATGAGCAAAAATTACTAAAACGTGGGTGAAATACTAGGCAGCCCGATTTCACTTCAGCCTCAGGTGTTCTACCTCACCAAATTGATACTGTCCTCACATGATGCGAGGGAATCATGAGGTTAAGTACCTGATAAGTAAAGCTTCATGACTGAAACTTTATAGGGTTTAAAGAGAATTGTTACCTTAGATATACAAGGATGACAGTTGATCTTTTGCTTGTAGTCTCCACTATCAAGAGGTAACTTTGTCCCTTATGAAAGTTCTATGATTTGGCTAACGGTAATTCCTTCAATAAAAGTAGCTCTTTTCTATGTTCTGTTTCCTCATATGAAGCTTGATATTTTACTCGTAATCTCCACAATCAGGAAGAAACTTTGTCCTCTATGAGAGATTTTGTGATTTGCTTAAAGGTTATTCCTTCCAAAAATGAGACAGTCCTTCTCTATGTTACGCAGCAGCTAGAAGATCTGGCGGTGGCTGAGTATACTGACTGTTTAACGACAAATATGTGACGCTATTTACGTGACAATTTTTAAGGTAATTACGGCTTCTTTGAGGTGTATTAGGGCTTTTTTAAACGGTTCATTCTAGTTGTACCCACAATCAGGTGAACTCGGTATTAAAATAACAAAGATGGCAAGCTGTTCAAACAAAATTTGATCGGTTCTAGGCTACGATGACCGCTTTTTGAGTTTTTTTTTTTCATAAAAAAAGATAAGTCTATGTTGGCGTAGAGAGTGGCATGTTGCTCGCACCAATCAGATCGCCGCATTAGGGTAGCTATCTCGCACCAATCAGATTGCTGCATTAGGGTAGGTATCTCGCACCAATCAGATTGCCACAGTAGGGTATTATACTCCTTTTAACTCGGGCTATGTTGTATTACTGGTCGTCGACCGTTTGCTGGCTGACTAGAGAAACTGGCATCCTATCCAAAAATGCCTTTTCACTTAGCTTTACCGATGGAAATGGGGATAAATGCTTGCGGTGTGGGGCTCTATTCTCATATGCAAGAATGGATGGGACACTTTGTGTTCCTTATATTTTCATAATTTATCTTTGCAAGAGTTTAAGAACTAATGTCAGCATGCATCAGACAAACAGCAGCAAGTCACTCGAAATTTGTGGTGTAGTTTTTTGTGGAAATATATTTTACTTTTCGAGAAATGATTTTTTTTCGTTCGACCGCTCAAATATGCAAATTTTCACCGCGAATATTACCCAAGTTGTGTGACCTCGTGTAACGAATATATTTGTCCTCCGGTATTTCTGTCAACAGAATCCTTTGTTTTATCATCTAAACTATCTAAACTTAAACCCATGTCATTATTGAAGCTGGAAAAGTAATATTTTTTTTAAGTGGATATTTTTGTCCGACATACTTTTTCTACGTCGAATAGTAGCATCAAAACAAAGACAGTCTTAACAATGACTGATACGACAGAATCTACTGAGCTTCAAGCTTTTAAAAGACAAAAAGATGCTTAAAAAGTTGCTTTAAAAATTTCTTTGTGTATTTCTGTTGTTCTATCTTGAGACGAACTCAAAGTCCAGCAAAATTTACTTGCTAGCGACTACGAAGTATACATGGTGTGCCTACTTGTCGGCACCGTTTACTGGCATAAATCACTACAATTTGTAAAAAAATCTAACATAACACTCCAACCTTGTTTATTTATGATTTTATGAGCTGTTTCGATGATCACGTTATGTTCTACCACATTCTAGCCATATTTGAGTATCAGTTTTTATATCTCCATCTTTTTATATCAGTTGCATGGCAAGCGTGACATATATAAATTCAAAGATGTATCAATCTCCGAAATACCAGGAGTTGGTTTTTTTTTCCTCTTTGCATGATATCTAGAAAAACCTTTCAGGAACTACCGCATTTAGAAAACTAAAGATCCATCAATGATTCCTTTGCCGGCCGAGGTCAAAGAATTGTTACAAAAGTCAATTTGATTGACAAGCTTCATACTGACTTAGGTAATTATCTGTTGAATAAGCGTCTCATCTTACATGCTAACATGGAAATTTGCTGTTCATTTAAATCGTTCGCGTGGAACTTGAGGGTTTAGTTATCGAGAAGACCGAAGTTGCATATCTCAAGTCGTTTCCTTGCATAGTTGTAAAAAAGAGCATTTGAAGTCAATCGCGGAGTTGCAAGTTTTCAGATCCAGAAAATGAAGTTGATCTTATTTTGTCGCTTGCCGGCATCTTCGAGACGCTAGCAGATATCGATTATTTTACAATTTGCGCCACACATAAATGTTGGGTAGAGTTGTGGTTCCTATAGTAGATTTAGAGTGCCCAAAGAGGTGTCCGGTCATTGCAATGGTAAGGTTAAGTCGATTCCAAAAGCCGATAGGGGAATTGGCAAGCGTGTATCACAGGTAGTACTCAAGATGTCTGGAAAATTCATACAGTCTGGCTCCGGTAAGTACGCTACTTACCACCGTGAGAAAAATTACGCTTCCCGTCAGACCTAAGTCTCGTTTGGGAATTAGTCAATAGGCTACCAAAAATCCAGACAGAAGCGGAGTTTCCTATACTAATGTCTGAAAACTTTTTTGGCTTCCCGCCGTTTGGCGGGACGCGTAAGTATGCACACGGTGGTAAAGGGCCCTTCAGCACAAGCCACTAAAGGCTGACAAAAATTGTTTCTCTTCACCCAAAATCACGTCAAAATTTGTCCTTCGTAAATTTCAAGTGTGCAGCGCGTATCATCACTCCCGGGGGACACATTTACATAAGAGGGCGGAGGTGCGCGCTGGGAAATTTGGGGCGTTTTAATCAAAAGCTTGCTTTTAACTTTAAGCCCAATTTACACGGAGGCTTAAACCTGTATTGTTAAAAACGATTGAAACTTCAGATTAAGCATATTGAAGATAAAAGCAAGTGGTTACTTGAAACCTATGGAAAATTCAGTTCTTTAGTTCTCTGTTACTGATTTTCATGCAGTTAAACTCAGTTTCACTAAACATTTTTTGCTGGTGTAGTTAATAGAATATTAGTTGTTTTCAACTCCTACATTATCGCTCTTCAAACTTCTCGCGCCTTGACTCAGTTCAGAGAGCCCAGGAGTGGACCCCTTCATAAAGTCAGTTTCTGTTTGTTACTCACGATCCACTTTGTCTATCTGCATGGGGGAACTGGAAGTAACGTTTGAAAATCAAATTTATTTATTTAATCATTATTTATACATGATAAAACAATTCATCAGGTTAAAAGATTCCAATACAATGACTAATATCCTAAGAAGTTAAAAATCCTAATCCTAAATTTATATTCACTTACAGCAATGCGCCACTTGAAAACCTGATTTCTTTGAATGCCGTGTTTAAAAATTATGATAGAGAAGGCGTTTAAATTGGTTTCATGCACCAGACTCTCTACTGTTACCGAGTAAGCTATTCCAAAGGGTTGCGCCGCTATAACTAAAACTATATTTCGTGTACTTAGTTCTTGGAAAGGGGACAACAAGTTTGTTTACGGAGTCCCTCAGAGAAAAGTTTCCTCTCGTTTTCTTTGCAACGAACATCATCGTTCCAAAAAGTCTTGAATATATCTTTATAGAATTTGGGTTTAGCACATTCATTGTAAAGAGCATCACATATGTAACAGGCTGCATCTCTTGATCCAAGGGCGTATTCTTTTTTCCATGTGAAGTATTCATTATAAGCAGTGTCATTTTTGTCGAGGTACAACAGGTATTCCGCCAAAGCCTTAACAGATGGAAAATCTTGCACACTTATAAACGAGCCCGGAGGGACAACCTCTGGTGTGTAGAAATCTCTTGTCAGTTTTATAGGCACTGAATTTCAACCAAGTGTACGCCAAAATTTCTCAGTAATGTAATCAGGACACACGCTGTTTTCAAATGCCATATAAAATCTATATGAGCGGAAAATATCGTCGAAATTGCTTTATTGCGGGCAGTTATTGTTTTTGCCAAATTTTTTTCGAACAGTGGCCATATATATCAACTTTAATGAATTTCAAAAGTTTTTTACGTACTTATCTCGAGCTCTTCCACGATTGGAAACAGCCCATAACACAGATTGGTTTTTCTCAGCTGCATAGTCAGGAATTTTCGCTGGTCTCTCAGCTGACGGCAAGAGAACATAACTTCCATAAGAATAGAAAATATCTGACTCTCTTTTGTAAGTTACTGTCCAATTAAAGAACCCCTCCGACCAAGAAAGACGGTTCTTTAAATCTGCCTCATTGTCAATGGATTCATGGGTAAGAAACGCCATTCTTTGCCGTGGGGACAGGTACTTGTGAATCTGTTGAATTTTTTCCAATGTAACAGAACGTAGTATATCACGAACATGAAAAATAACTAGATCACTTTTTCCTTTATCGTGTAATAATAGGTTAATTTGCATTTTTTTGTCGGACATCTCGAGAGATACTCTTCCGTGGATTTGGTTGCGGGCCATGGCTTCTCCCCGAAAAAAGGAGTGTGGAACAAAATGATTTTGGTGTCATTACTGAAGCAAGTTCGTTCGGAAGCGATCTCTGTCCTGTTGCTCCGAAACCAAGGCTTGAATCGTGGATAGCTTGTTTCATTCCAAGGCTTGAATCGTGGATAGCTTGTTTCATTCCACAGCATTATGATCAAGAAAAACGATGAAATAAAAAGCTTGCCCATTAGTAGAGTCGAACGCTCCATGAAGCAAAGTGGTAATATTCTTTCACCGATTCTTGTTATGCACATTCCCAAAAGATCTAATCGCAAAAACACAGAATTACACGAGCGGATTTTGCTGTTCACCTTGCGAGGTTTTGGCTGGCACATCTAGGTCTGTCACGAGACTGAAAGACAAAAAATTTCGGTAGAGAGTTTTCATGAGTGTATCATCTTTTATGACTGAAATGCTCTCTTGGAAACATTTAGGCGCTAGGAATTTGTTAAAAGAAAAAACTTGTATGAGCAGGAATTTTATAAATTTGCCATTCTAGCTCAAACAGGTTTTAGGAATATGAATGGAAATAATATGTGAGTGAGTGGGAAACCTTGTTTTATATTATATTGCGATGGCTAAAAACACGGAAGTCCAAAATGAACAAAACTACCTATTTATACATTTAATGGGGGATAACATTGCAAATTGACAAGTTATGGTTTCAAAAACTTGAGTATCGTTAAGGGTGCAATCGCGTTTTTCCAATCTCTGGCACGGTTTAGACATCGCAGAATTTTCGTTAAATGATTCTTGGGCTTGGATTACTGTGGCCTGGCTTTAATTGCTGAATTAATTCTTAAGGAAACGATATGGAATTAATTCTTGGAAAAACTATATGTCATCACTTCTTGGATTCCTTAGTAAATTTAGCTTGCGGAAGCGCAGAAACGAAGCTTCGCGCAGGAGATGACGAGCGTTAAAAATTTCGACGAGCCTGGTAGAAAGAGTCAATTGAAAATCGACGATGGGCCCGTCTCCAAATAATGTCAGATCTCAGGCGCGGAATCGTCGCCGAAGAGCGACTAATTCACGCTATCATGGATTTCTATCACCAGATTGTTAAAGAAAAAGTTCAGCTTATGATTCTCTCATTTGATCACCACAGTTGTGGTTCTATATCATAAATATGATTTTATCACAGGATTTATATTATACAAGGATTTCCAGCCAAATACGAAAAGAAAAACCGAAAGTTATGTTTTCAGTAGCTTTGGACATGGCATTTCTCACAGCTGAGAATGAAAATCACCAGACAACTGGAAGATTTACCACAGGCTGATTTTGGCTTTGTACCCGAAAGATTTCTTTTGTCGTTGAGGGTCAATTCAATAACTGAGAATATTGTTTATTGAAAATTAGGCCCATTGTTTGTTTTTGTAGTGATTCAACGCGTGTTTTCATCTTAAGTGCGCCAACGCACGTTACGATTTTTATTCGGGAATTGTCGATTTTTTTTATTTTCATTCATTAATAAAGTCGACTTTTCTTGTCAGTTAAGGGCTATTGTGTTTATATGATAAACAAAATAATACATGGTTGCTTGTAGATATGAAATTTCTCTTCTGCGCTCACTCGTGTGCTATCGAGTTAAACACTATATTCTATATCTACGCGCGCCCATGTATTATTCTCTATATATCCTTTTTATCGAATAGATTGTGATTGTGTCACTTGAAAGATATGGGTCTACACAGCTGTGTCGTGACGCTATAACTTCTTTGGATTTTGGTTCGTTAATGGGTCGTAATATCATATCGTCTTGAGTTTACCAGGAGATTTCTTCTATTTCCTGGTGACATTATATTTTATACACATTAATTGAGAAATTTTCATTGCATGTGCTTGTCCGTTATCTTTTTTATCGTTATTAATATCGCTTGTTACTTTATTGTCTTCTAGTATTGAAACCTCATCAAACAGTGTTTTACAAAATAAGCAGCTTTTATTATCTCGATACTGTTTTGAACAATTTAGCGTCGATCTAGTCTCTTTTTTCTCTGCCTGCTTTTTTATCCTGTTGTTGACATCAGTTAATTTTTTGGATGAAAAGTAATTTTAACTACGATGTTTTTAGTGACATTACTTTTTCTTTCGAATCTATCCATAATTTTTATGGAGTGTTTCAATCAAAAATCGTAGTTTTTCTACTTACCTCAGACCTTGAAAACTATCACATGTATTCGCGTATGGTTGTAATAGTTATAGTGTAATTTACAAACTGTTATTGAACTCGTTTATGAAGTTATTAAGCATCAAATTAATAAAACACGATTTGGCTTTTTATCAATAAAAAATGTTTTCCTAAAATCCATATCTTAACATTGATTTTAAACTCAATATTCTTTTTTAAAAAGAAAAATTCTTCGTCTAGTAAATCAATATCCTCCATCTTTTGTTCAGAATTTGATACCGATTTGATGATTATACAATGTATATTTTTGTCAAAGTTTAATTGTTGCTTTTGAAAGTTTTGTAATGATTTCGATATATTGAATAGGTGATTAAAATCATCCTTACTTTCAGGGTAATCATACACTTTTTAACCAATACATTTTTCCACACAGTAATGTTTATCAGTGATAAAGTACCTCTTGATTCGTAGCACGTAGCTTTTGCCCTTATGGTCTTTAAATCAGTGCTATCTTATCGTTATTATCGCCTAATCTTTTGAAAGAACCTTTCGGTGGAAATTCTGTAAAAATTTTTGACTGCCGGGCATTTTGTCTATTTGAGACAGTGCCCGGCTGGCGGGCATTTCGTCACAGCGTTTCTCAAAACTTTCATCCAGGTATCCTCTATTCGTTAAGCGCATTTTGAAACTCGTACGTTTTAAGTTCTTTCGCACACAGAAAAAATAACTCTACGTTAGCGTGTAGAGTGGCATGTTGGTCCCACCAATCAGATCGCCGCACTAGGGTAGGTATCTAGCTCGCTAGATATCCGATTTTATCGGAATATGAAAGATTCGCATTTAACTTCTTGTACCATTTAAGTTAAAATGTGTTTTTTCTACTCCTTTATCCCACAACGCCCCTTTACTCACAAGGCACACGCAAACAACTTACATTCCTTCACGTACCGTAAAAACAACGTTCAAAGTTTAGTCAGAGCATACCCAATCATTGTAATAAAATATGTGACTATTGTTCATCGTGGTGTAAGATAGATGAACTTTATTCATTTGTCTCACGATAGAGTCACTTTGGATATTGATCGCGACATTTCGACCGCAATACTGCTAGTCTTCATCGGGCGATGAGGTCGATTGTTTACCCGTCGCTATTTGTAGTACATTTGGCTCGCTGCTGTCGGTGCATTTCGATCCTCATTACTGTTCCGGTTGTCAGATGGTTCCCTCATAGGTCCGCAATGATCGGCTGTTGTGTTATTTGAACGTGGGTATCCAAGCTTCGGGAATTCTGATTCCACTATCCCAACTGATGTTCTTAGGGTGAAATCTTATATGGATAACCTCTTTGACCCTATGTTTATATCACTGAGGGTCACAATCAATAAACTTAACCTTGCTCCAAATAGGAATATGCCCCGTTTCGTTACGATGGAAATTTGCTGACCTGTTCTATTGATACAATTCGACAGTGGTTAGGAGTTGAAAAGGATAAAGTTTTTCACCAAAACCATATATTTTTTGATATTTAAACGCTAACAAAAATGTAGTAACGGTATGTTTACTCCGGAAGATAATATGAAAAACAACAGCAAGCTCTAACCGCGATGAGAACACCCATGGATCAGCGCTGCAGAACTCGTTTTTTTTCCGATCATATTGGCCTGTAAAGAAATATATAACCGAGGTTTTCATACCGTGTGATTTAAGGCCAGAAACGCCTTCAGAATGCTCAACAACGTATAGAGGTCCTCTCAGTACAGCACCAGGACCAAGCTGAATATCTACCAAAGCTGTGTGATCTCCACCCGACTATACGGCTCTGAATGCTGGAGGATGACAGAGAGCGACATCACCAAGCTGTCAGTCTTCCACACAAAGAACCTCAGGAGAATCCTACAAATCTTTTGGTCTGACACCATCTCCAATCAACAGCTACTCGCAAGCTGCAATCAAGACAGCATGAAGACCATCATCATGCGAAGGCGATGAAGATGGATTGGGCCCGTCATGAGGAGAGAGCAGGACAACATCACTCGCACAGCCCTTCACTGGACACCTGAAGGAAAGTGCAAAAGGGGAAGACCAAGAAACACGTGGCGCCGAACTGTGGAGGCAGAGCTCAAGACCATGCAACACACTTGGGGTACCATCCAGAAGCTGGCCCAGAACTGACAGACATGGCGATTCTTCGTAGTCCCCCTACCTGCCATACGTCATAATGGGCATGAGTGAGTTAGTGAGTGAGTGTTATTTAAAGCATCTAACTACCACAGAAATGATTGTTTTTCATACTTCAAAGGCAGAGAAGCAAAGGTGAACCTTGCTTTGCTGATAAAACGGTCTAAGCATTGTCGTGTAAAACGCTTCCAACACAAAGATAAGTACTGTATTTCACAACTCAACTATTTGTTAAGCACAAGTTCGCGTAAAGTCACATGATCTTAACGTCACTGATTCAATGACACGCAATGCGTGCAAACAAGATGAAATACAAAGAGGAAAAATGGTATTTCTGACGATTGAGTCTGCGAATAAGGCAGAAATAAATATTTTGTCGGCACCAGATACAAACACGCCTGGGCCCTAGGCCCGAGCATTATGGGTCATTGGGCCATGGTACCTACCCAGATTTCTTATCATATTTTTTCCCCAAAGGGGTTTTTTCTGGTAGGTTTTTTCTGGCCTCCGTATAACCGTAGTGATGTCCTTGTAAGCGGTTGCCCATCTCTATCAATCCCGATTTGGTGAAGTTTGCATGTTAGTGATGGCTATTTTTGAATGTATAAGGAAATTACTGTATATCAGGATTGTATATGGTATATCAGTTGCGAATGTATGCATGTATGTATGCCTCGGGCAATATATGCCTTGGGCTGGTTCTCAGCAGGCGTCCTTAAATAAACTTATATGGTTTACTCTACTGTGTTATTTTTTGTGTAGTGGAGACTAAATCTAAACAAATTATCGATGTTCAGTCGCAACAGGCATCATCATTTTCGGCTTAAACGTTAATAAGCAGCGAGATTATCGCGTGTCATCATATAGGTCTGGACAGAAATCATCAGGCGAGGGTTGTCCAATACACCCAAACTGAGTCCGATGGACGAAGGCCATGAACAACCAGACTCACCGGAAGTCAGTTCGCGAGAGACTTAGTAATATACAGCAAAGTAAAGAGTTGCGGACTGGGTGGAGATACATGTCGGCAAACGGCCGGACTCCATCGGATCCGTAGCGCGCTTGTTTCACCTCATGGCTCAAAGAAGGACGAATGTTACATGTGTAGCGCACTTGTTTCGCGTCATGGCTGAGAGATATTTTCTCTGTCTCTCGCGAACTGACCTCCAGAGAGTCCGATCGACGCTTGCCAGGACGAACTGTCTCCATCGGACCTGATCGAGTCCGTTTGCCAACATTTTCAACCCCCCTCGCTCCTGTGAACCTCTTACTTCCGGTACCACTGATCAAGCGCCTTGCGCCCATTCCGGGTTCCGGTCGTAATCGGACTTAATCCACATGCTGGTGAAGACAACCCGACTCAGGTCGGGTGTATTGGACATATGTGGTTTTTGTTTTCGACAACATTGACCTGTAAAGAAATATAGAGCGGAGTTTATTTGTACCTTTCGCCGGCAGCAAATAACTGGCTAAATGCTAAGGAAGTAATGTACTTTAAGAGATCATTAATGGAGTAAAATTTTATTTTTTTCCCTCCCGGGGTTTCCTAGCGCGTTGCTGCGAACACAGCTAACTAAATTTATTTGGCTGCGAGAAAATAAACAAATGCAAGTAGAAAAAGTATTTTAATCACAATCCACTTTATCAATCTATGACCGATTTCACATCTCGTGTCTCAAGTTGATTTTTAGGCAAGGGAAGCTGTCACAGTAGAAAGTAGTGTTGGAAATGTTAATGCGTTACAAGAAGAGGTATTTTCCTCGTTGGTAATTTCATTCCTAAATTGATTATTTATTTTTAAAGGAAACATCGACGAGATCTGAGGGCAGATACCACTAAGACAAAGACAACATCGACGTAGTTTAGGCGTGCATTTCCGTGGTAAGTAATGATAAGTACTTTATTTCACAACTCAGCCATTTGTTATTTTTTCTCAACCAAATTGTCGCGTAAAATCACATGACCTTACCTTAAAGAAAGAACTATTACTCCTTTTCTCAGATACCGCCGAATGCACCCTTACCTTCGCACAGAAATTTCGCGAGATTAAGTTCCCGCACTTACCTGATATTTAGGACTTACTTCATATTTCCTACTTAAAGTCCTCCTTAGCATAGAAGCCAGAAATGTATTATCAAAATGTCTACCCAATCGTTTCAAGGGTAAATTGGTACTCCTGTATTTCAAGGACATAATGCAGTCGAAATCTCTCTCGAAAACATGGTCCTTGCTTGCTCACTGGCCTCCATGCTGACTTAGAGTCAAAGATCTGATCAGAGTAGATTACTAGCTAACTGTCACAATTTAACACTGGCATTGTCGCTCTTTGTGTCACAAACCATGCAATAAATCTGTAGATCGCGGACAGAACATGCCGGGTACAACAACTGTTACATGATAGTCACGTCACGCAGTATTAACAGGCTATCCTCAAATGTCATGACACGTTTGGGCTAAGCTAAGCGGTTCTTCTCGCTGAATCATCCTGCAATCATGAAAATTGCCATTCATGCTACGAGTGCGTAGTTATTTCCAAAGAGATAATTGTGCGAAAGAGTCCTAAATTTACGTAGCACTCGCTAACGCACAAGCTTCGCAGATCCTCGCGCCTATTTTCATTTTAATCGTCAACTTTTATCAATTTCATATTTGAAGTCTCTCGCTTTACATTGACAAGTCTATGGATCATTTTACGCTACTCTGGGGAGAACTTTTTCTTTAGCACAGCTCGTCATGCCGTCAACACTTTTTAACCTTTGAAGAAACGACAACTGACGGTGAATCTCTATTACATTCTGTAACCTCAAATGGTTACCTTAGTGGGTAAGCGAACAATTCGAAGGCACCTAGAATGTCAAGTGATCTTTAATAATTTTAGAAGATAGTGCTAAGATGTATTTGTGCTTGATCGAAGTAGCGATTGAGGTTGTGTGGTTCAAACTAAAAGAAAATACAAGAAAGTAGTCTAGTAGAAAGGTGATCGAAAGCGAAGCACAACAACGTGGCATGTTGTGTAACTCGACATGTTGCTCTTGCTCTAAATAAGAGTGCAAGCGTGAATGAATTGAAGCTCGAAGCAGTACGGTCTAACATTGATGTGAACACAAGCATGAATTAAAATAAGGTACTGAAACTAATTAGACTGCGGAAATGATTTATTACCAATTACCACGCTGACTCGAAGTTGATGATTGACTGAAAAATACTACATATAAGTAACGAAGGCACGTTCAAAGCAAATATTTACATAACAGTGCTTTCAGTAGAACTCATTCAAAATAGGAAAGTAGCTACAGATTGGTCCTGTTGGTAAAATTTACCTAGCTTAAGGAATTCTCCAAAATGCTCATACATGCATATATGGGAACATTCTAACAGATTATTTTGGTGTCGATTCCCAGGATCTTCTACAATTTTTTTGGTAACATACATACAGGTGTTTTGATTTCTTATTGTGATGATTAATGTTCTTGAAAGATTTTCTTTAATCTGCATAACTGTATTTGGGTGCAAAGATACACTGAGACATTGTTTATATGGGCATTTTCAAGTGGCAGAACAATGTAAATATTCTTTTTCAAACTGAATTGGGTTTAAACTATGTAACGTAGTGCTGATCATTTTTGCACAATAGTATCCATGATATGTGGAATGAAAATAATTAAATATATGTTGCCATGGTTTTCATTAAATGCCGCACTATGAGGATTAAAAAAAAAACATCCTCTAAGGTCAAGCAAAAGCCTAGCATGCAGCTGATTTTTAATAGCAATTTTACCAGAGGACTTTTATTTTACTTATAAAAGGAGTCAAAGTTCTCTATTAGGGGAAAGATGGTCTAAAAATGGTACCATATGTATGATTTGACACCAAGGTACAATAGCACACAATCTACACGTCCAAACTTTTCTTCTCACAATATTGATAAGAGAAAATTCCTTTTTGGTGCTAGCAGTATAATGTTTTGGCCCAATTAGTAAAAGGGCTAATATTGGATTGCCTACCTCACCGTGACCCATGCATTAATAGCAGTAATAATACACATGACAAAAATTTCATTATTGCGATTGGCTAAACAAAATGCGGTTTTTAGAAAACACAATGCAAAAGAGAGCAATTAAGTGCAGAAAATAGTTAATTTAGACCAAAAAAAAATCAAAGTTATGCAGCTGGGCTTCAAAACCAAAGAAAAATTTTAATTGTTGTTGAGTCCCATTGAATGTCGTTGCTCTGACCGAACACCAAATAATATTTGCAGGGTTTGAATGAATTTACGGTTAATCACGCAATTCTTCCTATGTAATTTGGAAAAAATTAGCACTTACTAGATTCAAGTTAGTTATGGTGAAACTGTAAACCTCTTAAATTACATGTAAACTACTAAAATTTCATTCAGTGACAAATTATGTACTTCTTTGTGCAAACGAAGTCACGAATTGAAATTCAGATGTTCATTGCAAATATTTATATCTTAGCTTATAAATATCTTATGGTATAATTTGCAGAACCAAGTAAAAACAACGTCGTTTAGGACTCTATTGAGAAACAAAACAACCCCTAACCTAGTGGGGTTAATTTCCACTTACCTAGTTTTTTCACCTGCTGTTTTCTGAATCGAATCTGATTGTAACAAAAAGATATTCGGCTTCTAACTGACTCGTCCATAGTCTTATTTTTGTAAAAGACAGGGAGCTAATTGAAATGATTATAGGAAAACGTTGTGAGGTACATTATGATATTTGGTTTCTTAACGACTTCTACACAGTCTTTTTGTTTTGGAAGACGGTGAGGTAATTTTAAACTGTAAGCTCTCCATTGTGAACGCTCCGGGGGGTTTTGGACGGCAGATTGCCCAGCAAGGTCGAAGCATCCTCTTGAATGTCACCTTGAAAGGCTCACTTTTCAAAGCGTAAATCAAAGGGTTGAAGCTTATTGCTAGTAAGTACAGAATTTTAAGGATCGGAAAGAGCTTGTACTTCACAATCGCTTCACTTCCGTTCCGTAGGTTTCTGCTGGGCGGCTCAAATGTTGTGATGAGAGTCACAGTGAGCACAGGTGCGAAACAAGCCAACGCTGAAAACACGATGACAGATACCGTCTTGGCGGCGCGCATTTCAGTGACACGCCTCTGCGAGAAAGCGTCCTCTAGTGTTCTTATCTGTCTGTATTGTTTAAAGGAGATTATGAAAATCCACGCATGTGAAATCAGCATGATACCGCTGGGCAGTAAGACACTCACTGTCATGAGAGTTAAGAAGTGGGGGATTATGGGTTGTAAGTCTCTTTCGTTTGGGATAAAGTTATTTCGGAGACAACCAGTAATCAGCTCCAGAAGTGGGCGGGCGTCTTTTCCTATAATTTCCCTCATAATGTTTGGCAAAAAGCCTTCCACAACGCCAATGATCCACAGGACAGTTATTGTTATGAGAGTGCGTTTTGTGGTCACCAACACTGGGTATCTGTTGAGAGACGGAGCAAGAACGATGAGAGAAGTGAAACATACTTTGTATTAAATGGGGTTGTCTGTCTGGTAGTCCGAGAGAGCGTCGTGGTGAGAAGGACTGCTGTTGTTAGCTGTGACTTCAGCTAAGGTTTTCCAAACGTCAATCACTACTTACCACAGAAGTCCTTCTTAGGATTACTCTTAGATGGACGATCAAATTACACAATTCAGTGTATTAATAAACTCAAGTTCAAACGAGTTTCAAGATACTGGTTTCACTACGTACCTCATTGGCAGTTTTATGGCCAACAGTCGATCCAAAGATATGAACAGCAAATGAAGCATAACAACGTAGAATAAAATCCAATCCAGTTTTGAAGACCACTTGCACACGGTTTTAGCCCTCGGATCGCATTCTTTGATGGTGAGAGAGAACGAGTAACCCACCAACACTGGAACAAACAAAAGGCTTGCTACAGAGAGGCTGACAAGGAGATGGTTGGCGGGTGTTCTTAGGGTTTTGGTTTTGTACACAGCCATACATATGAGCGTGTTCCCCACTGTGGCGGATATTGCAGTAGTGATAGTGAGTGTTAAGAATATTGCGGTCGACAAAGTCTCATGCGGATCGCAGGTGATATTTTTTTTGGGACGTATGTTCTGCTCCATCGTTCCTTTTCTATATCCGTTTCTTTTGTGACACAACAGCGTTTTCTGAGGATAGAAAAGACAGCAAGGATGAATGCTCTGTTTTTTTACTGATTTGTGACGATAATTATAGCTTCTCTCCTGTATGCGTAGGTAACACGAGCTCTCACTTAAGTCGCCATCCGTCTGTAAATTAGCGCCCCGACGAAACAAACGTTTTCTAAAGCAAACTGAGGAAAGTGATGAGAAAGACCTTGGGAAATACACCTGCTCGATATCTGCATTATTAACATTTTCCTTCAAAGTAACCACTTTTCACACTGTTCTTTATTTTTCGTTGACTTCAGAAGAAATTGTTTTAAAGAATAAAACCAATATTAATCTGAAAAATTCTAAGAAAACTATCCTAGAGAAATAATGCCTTTGTCCTTGTAGATTTCTAAAGTACCTACTTTGATGACAATGATGCTAATTAATATGTGGTACATCATTTTGGTCATTAAACAAAAACTTGAATTAGGAAGGTGTTGCGATCAAACAATTGAGAAATTTAGTCACACAAAGGAAGCTTTAATCCGTAATTAGTTAAAGCATTATCAAAATAACCTAGAAAAGGTATGAAATACGAGTAGATGTTATTTTATAAGTGATTTCTAGTTTAGTAGAGCATGCGGAATTAAATGAGGATTACAGAAATTGTTACCGATGGGAACTAGTTTTGTGTGATTAACATTTACACACAAGTTTTTCTTGGAAAGAACAAATGTGTCATAAAAAGTCCTCGTTTAAATTTTCGATTCTTTTTCGCAGGCAAAAAGCCAGAATTACAAGTAGGAGCTGATTTCATACGTCTACGATAAGTTAGTGCATCATTGATGATTGTCGTGTGCGCCTTGTTACCTTTTACTGGTTTAAAATGTTTTGGGTGACGATATCGATTTTAAAATCAAATTTACATATTGGCGTGAGAAGCATTACCTAAGCTTTATGTAGAAGTAAAATAAAAAAATTTCCATGTGTTTAAATTACAGGACAATTTCTTTGGGGTTTTTATTTTTAAGTCTTTTCCATGATACCTAGTGCGTAAAGAGCTGCAGATAAGATAATTTAAGTGATTTCTTGGAGAATTATTAAATCCAGTTTAGTAGAGCATGCGGAATTAAATGGGAAGTGCAAAAATTGTTACCGATGAGAATTAGTTTTGTGCGATTAACGTCACAACACAAGTTGTTCTTGGAAAGAAAAGATGTGTCACAAAAGGTCTTTGTTGAAATTTTCGATCCTTGTTCGCAGGCAAGAAGCCAAATTACAAATAAGAGCCGATTTCTTTCGTCTGTATTAAGTTAGTGGATCATTGACGATCGTCGTGTGCGCCCTGTCACCTTTTTTACTGGTTTAAAATAATGTTTTGGGTGACGATAACGAGTTTAAAATCGAACTTAAAAATTGGCTTGTGAAACATCACCCTAGCTTTATATAGGAGAAAACTTTTCCTTTTTTCAAATTAAAGGACAATTTCTTCGAGGTTTTTAGTTTAAGTCTCTTCCATGATACCTAGTGCGTAAAGAACTGAAGATAAGATAATTTGGACGTTTCAAAAATTTGAAATATCAGTTTCCCGAAGCCCTCCGACAAAATACGCTCGTCAAAGAAAAGGTAACAAAAATGGCTCCGGGAAAGAGTTTTAGGATTTCCAACTTTGCAAGTCAAAATTTGATCTCAATTACTTACATGTCACAAACTTTTTCTGTTCTAAGGACTCTTCACTTCTTTTTGTTGCTTTTCGAATTCGAAATATCTGACTGAGGACGAATTTTCTGTAATTTCTTCTATCTTCTCCATATGAGATTTTTTCTGATTGACTCTGCGTCACAAAAGTTTGTTAAGCTGGCAACACCTTGATTTTGCTTTAAATGACATGAGACTTTCTCCGCATGCGATAAACTCATTTTAAGCGTGGAATAAAATTTAATGATTTCCGTAGAATAGAAGACTAGCAATTTAAATAAGAAACGATGCTTTTCTCTAATTCCTCCTCCTTGGTTTGAAAAAAAAAATAGCCACCGTTAAGCTGCCTACAGAAGCATATAGAAGTTGGCTTTTATTTCAACTAATGGACACGTATGTTGTCGAGGATCTACTCTGTTTTTTTCGATCAGTTTGGCTTAGTAGTATTTGCATCCTTAGGTCATGCATCTTTAAGTAATTTATCAAATAAGACAAGGAAATAAGTTATTAGCTGTGCCATCTGAAAAAAATCCTACAGGCAAAAATAAAAAAAACAACATCCAAAGCTACAACTGTCTTCAATCTAAATACATTCAAAAAAGAAATGGAATTTGTGTAAACAGTGCAGCAACGGGTGACGTCTGTTAATCTAAAGCAAAAATTGGAAAAAAAGGAATTGTATTATGCGTGCAGATCTCATCAAAATTACCCATATCAGTCAGTATGTTGTTAGTACGACAATTTTTCTTCGCCTGATGAAAAAGTCATGTGTTTTTAACAAAATTATCCGCGGAATTATGACCCGACAACTGGTAATTATTTTTTTTGTTTGCCTTATGTGTTTTTCGGTTTTCTAGTAAAGAAAAACATAACATCAAGTCTGTCCTAGAAACATTGTACATGTCAACAAAAGCAAGTGAAAAAAATTCCAGCTTTGGAAATAAGTCACTTTTAAATGTGTTTGTATGACTTGAATTTTGCGAATGGAACATAGATTATTTCTTAAATCAGTGGTCATGTATGGGGAAAAATACGGGTATTGAGTTTTTGTTAGAGATTATTCATTTAGGTCGGTGGATTGCGGGTAATTTCAAGTGATGATTTTCAGTTGTATCCGCAAGCAAATTGCCTTGGACTTCGATTAGCGTAAAAGCTTATAGGGCAAGCTGTTCAAATATTACTAGCCATTCCTTGGCTACATTCTCAGTAGGAAAATGGGAAATTGAGAAGCATATGAAGGTCTGTGGCAAGCTGAAAAAAAATTACTTCGTAAAAATTATCTTCGCGGTCATCTCCAAACTGCAAAACATTACGCAGATTGAATATTCTGCATCGAGAAGTACGTTACTCATATCTCAGTGAACCCGTGATATAAAGCAATTATCAAAATAGAAAGTGTATAGCACAGCTATTTTAACTTAATGGAACTTGATGTGTTCGTAATAAAAAAAAAACATATAGCCCCAATGTCACATCATTTCGGCTAAGCTTGCAATATGATCTAATTCACTTACTGTGAGTAAAATTAGGGCTTTATCGGGTACTTACATTTCTCGGTTTTTATGACTGAAACAGAACTAATATTTCTGATGTAGATGACGCTTCGTATACTGCAAGGAATGACCAATAACTAGAGGAAACCTTATCGTTTACAAGATTTTGACAACTTGGTAAACTTGGAATACTCCATAGAAAAAGTAGACCTCTTTGCGTTGACGAAGATAACCTGTGCGTGCTGTGTCTGAACATACGACTGCGTATAAAACAACTGCGTACCTTATTTGCAGGCTTTTTAAAAATTAACACGTCGATATAAATATCGGTTTCTTTTTTAATACTTGTGCGATGGACTTCGCCGAGAAGGAAGGACTACTCTTAGTCTATTGTCACTGTGTTTAAACAGCTGAAGGAATTATACGGCCTCGCACAGTCTGAATAAAATTTGAAAAAGCTAATTTTAACGAACATGGAGATGTCGAACTAGCTGTCAACTGCCCTGAGAGAAATTTTGTTCATCATTTAGTTATCATGTTTGGTCCTGATTCCTACAATTTGCTTGACTTACTCGACAGAAAAGCTTGGTACTCATCTAACGTTTCGATTTGTCGATGCGATGGGAGTTTCTTCGGGGCGGTGCGGATGTAAAACAAAACTTTAATTAACAATGTTTGTGGACTTCTGACATTCCTCTTCAAAACGATGGCAGGAGTAAAAGACGACTTGATAATAAATTAAAGACTTACCACCTGAATTAACAATAACAACGGTAAACTGGTGGTCTGGAGAGTTTTACCCAGAAAAGTGTTCGTGTGAACAAAAACGAAGCAAATCTCCCCTCGTCTACGGTTGCGTTTTGGCTTGTTTTCACCTGTCCTCACTGATACGTTTTTCAACGCATACTGTTTTAAATGGTATGGAATGTTGTCCGAACTAAACGCACCAACACGATAATAGAATCGACAGCATGACATGCTTTTTTGACAGTTTTTTTTTGGTAAAGCCTCCGTCCGTTTTCACCTGTCAACCCTTTAAACAGATCGTTATCACAACGCTGTGTTAAGAAATATATTTTTCTTCGAAATATAGGGTGTATTCGAATGCGGCACTCTTTCGGGAAGCGCGGTACGCCAAAGGGGGTTCTTTTGGCTTAATTTCCAACCGAATGTCATAATATGTTTCCAAGGGTCAATAAATGTCTTCAGTATTAGGTTATCTTGGTAGCCGAACCCTTTCCCCACCCCCTCCCACCCCGCCACTTCCCCTTCCCCCCGCCAACCGCCTCACTAGATACTGGTTCCTCCTAAACCATTTTAACCAGAGCCTGATCGGAGTCTTCTCTTGTTCTCAGGATGTTTGGGGCATCCTGTCAGAATTTTCCTCGGAATTATGACATTGCCGTGTTTATTATCCTGTGGTGAAATTTTGTGAATCAAAAGTTTTGAGAAATGTTTGAGACTAAAATCAATATCCTTTGTTATAATACACAATTCATCTAATCGATCCAATGAACACGGAGGCGAATGAAATCCCCTCCTCCCGCTCTTTGCAATTTTATTTTAAATATTGATGATCAGGCCCGTGCAATGTCTGTTTTGCATTTCAAATATTACACTATCTCCACGAATATTATTACTATTTGTTTGAGCGTTTGAGTAACATCTGGATCTTTTAACGCGAGGAAGAAAAATTTCGCTCTGTTGCTTTCAATCCGTTAAAAAATGATCTTTGCCAGGAATGTCTTCAGATGACACTCCGAACTTCTCTTACGGTCGAAGTTACTAGTTAAACTGTTAGATGTTTTGTGACTCGGTTCTGAAGTGTTTGTCGCTCCACAGAATCGAGCTACAACCGGCCAGGGCAAGTTATCAGAGACAATTGATGAGGTGACAGAAGTTTAGTCTACTTTAAAACTCATTATGAGAGAGCTCTATCTTGTGTCGTGTTCATAGAAGTACAGTTCATATATATTAGCTCGAGATAGGTGTTTCCAACATAGTGTAAGGTTATTGCTTAAAATTTATGACGACCCGCGATATTGCGAAGAGCCAACTTCGACTTTCACGGACGAATTTTGTATCAATGTATCAGTGTATCAATGTATCAATGATAGAGATTAAAGAAGGAGATGGATTCCCTTTTACACTTAAAAACTCACGAAACACAGTCATTCTTAGTATGGAAGCTTTTTCCAAATGCAAGAGATTTACTGAAAACCTTAATTACCTTCTTCTAACTGGAAGAATCCTGTAACAAAATCCGTTGGATTCTCGAAAATTAGTCGACAGGAACCCTAATCGTTCCAGTTTTAAAATATTTGATGAAATTACGTTTAAAAGTGGCGCGGTTTGGGCGAGCGTATGATGTCCTCGACCTAGATATAATAACAATACACTTATCGCTCAAACAAAGCCCATTGTCAAAATCAGTGTAAGCGGATTTTAAAACTGCAATGATAATTATTCGATAATGATAACGATAATAATCATGACTGTAATAATAAAAATAATAATACTAATAATACTAATAATAATAATAATAATAATAATAATAATAATAATATTAACAATAATGATAATTATTACAACTATACTAGATTTAATGAAATGAATTACGTGAAAGACTTACCTCCTAAGTCGTTATTTAAAAGCTTAGAACTTTTTATAAAGGTTGGAGAACATTTCAAGCAATTTTAATTGTTAAAACAATCAGTAATCATTCTCTTCTGTTTAAGAGGTTTCAGAGAGCTACTGGATTTTCAGATTAACCAGTCAACAGATCAGGAAATAAATGTTCACAACAATCTCTACGTTCTATCAACAGGAAAAGAATTGGAGAGAGCTAAAAAGTCGGCGTAGCTGGTAATGGTCCAGGAAACCCTGCCGAAAACAACATCACCACCTTCATGAACATCCTCATCTTTCATGTCCCGAGTGCATGGATCATTTAAGATATTCAGTGGTCGAGGCAGTGTTACTAAAATCAATTTCACCAATAATTAATGTTTATCATGCATTAGGTGATGCATACACTGCAGAAATGTAGTCAACCAATAATAATTAATTAACTGCATTACTAGAATCTAAAATGTCCAGTTCTGGGGCTATTGTGGTAAGAAAAAAGTCGCCCTCAGACCAAACTCGCCCCCGCTTGAACTTACTCTTCTGTTGCCTTTTAAGTACAGTTCCTTTCTACCAAGACCTTCTTATATTCAAAAGTTAAAAATTTCCAAACTCGGAGCTAAAAGTTAAAACTTATGAAATATTTCGTCCGTATTTCGACCGGACTTCATCAGTCAAAGATATGAATGTTAAAAAGATGAATTTTAAAAAAGGTTTTTTTTTTAACGCCTCTTGGGGGTTAGAATTGGGTCATAGATAGCTGCTAATTCGTAACCATTGTCTCTGTTTAACGCCGGTTTCGTAAGTTTAATTTGAATAGCTTCTTTTATCCTGCGTTTGAAGGTGTTAACTTCGGTTGATAGTACTTTTATCTTATTTGGGTCCACCGAGTGGCCCTCTAGGCGACAATGCTCGTGAACAGCTGATGAACTTCTTGATTGGTGTTCTTTCACTCTGATTTCCAGAGCGCGGGCCGTTTCGCCAACGTACTCCTTGTTACACTTCTCACAATGGATCTGGTACACAGTACCGCATTTCTTGAGATTGACAGTTGTGTCCTTGACACGTACCAATTGTGATCTTAAAAATTGACGGGTTTATGAATAAGTGTAACATCGTGTGACTTGAACGCTCTTTGCAGGCGTTCCGAGATACCTTTGATGTAAGGCGTTGATACATAGATTTTCTTCTCGTTTTGAGGCTCTTCGGAATCTTCTGTTGTAGATTTTGGATGTGGTATTGTTAGCATCCATTCTGGATAGTTATTCATTTTAGAGCTTGCTTGACATGCTGTGTTTCTCTAGTTCTGTCCTCGTTTTCCGTAACCAAGGTGTGAGCTCTCAACATCAGGGTGTTAACCACAGCTCTTTTGTGTTGTAGATGATGGTTTGACTGGAAGTTTAGGTACTGGTCCGTGTGCGTAGGTTTGCGGTACACGGAGATCTTGGTAGAACCATCTTGGTTAATACTCACACAGGTATCAAGGAAAGGAATCCTGCCATCCTTTTCTTGTTCCGAAGTGAACTGGATGTGTTGGTCAATGGAGTTTAGATGTTCTGAGAAGGAATCGACGGCGTTTTCGTGAATCTTGGCCATCGTGTCATCAACATATCGATACCACATAGTTGGAGGGGTGGGGGCGGTGTCCAGAGCTCTGCTCTCGAGCTGTTCCATGTAGAGATTGGCCACTACAGGGGAAATTGGAGACCCCATTGCGGCTCCTTTCTTTTGTTTATAGAATTCACCCTGGAATGTGAAGTATGTGCTCGAGAGGCACATCTCTAGTAGAACAGATAATTGAACGAACCTGTATGAAAGGTGTTAATACCATGAAGATTATTCATAATGCCGAGAAGAAACTTCTTCAGGAACGAATAAGACAATGCAACTTTACGATCAGAAAGTACGAGGAGAGCGTAAAAGAACTGAAATCAAGTTTACAATCCAAGGTGTCAACAGAGATAAACAATCAAATCTTAACTCTCTTCGAGAAAACACATTCGTCGCACTTTGAGATGGCAAAGAGCCGCCAGAGGCAAAAGTTTGACCGCCTACTGATCAGTAAAGAAGAAATTCGGTCACGACAAACATTGGAGATACCAACATTGATCGGACAAAGTGGGTTATGAATCTCTCTGACCACCCTCTTTCTGACAGTGAACGCTCGGTTCTCATGAAAGGTCTGAATTTTAGCGTAACTCCATCAAAGATTCCAGTTGATGAGATCGTGGCAGCCACTGAACTGGCCTGTAATCAACCCAAAGAGAAAAGCCAAGCCGAGAGCCTGAGAAATGAAGTAGTTAAAATCGTAAGCAAGAGCAAACCCCCAAGACCAAACATCAGCAGAGCTGAAAGGGAAGCCATTAAGGCTCTGGCGAAAGACGATTCAATTGTAATCTTACTAGCGGACAAAGGGCGCACTACGGTAATCCTAAACAAACAAGATTATCACAACAAGGTGAAGGCTCTCCTAGACGATACCAATACGTATGAAAAATTAACATCTGACCCAACCAGAGCCATCAAAAACAAACTCATTCAAACCTTGAAGGAGTGGCGCAAAGAAGAGAGAATCCCTAATTATCTTTACAATCAACTGTACCCCACAGCAGAGAATGTCCCAAAGTTCTACGGGCTACCCAAGATTCACAAGAAAGACGTACCGCTACGGCCAATAGTTTCGAGCATTGGTAGCGTGATGTACGACACTGCCAAGTTCCTTGCTAAGATTATGAAACCTCTTGTTGGCCTCAACAGTCATCACATCGTTAACAGTGAAGACTTTGTCAACAAGATTGCAGAACTTGAAGTACCCCCTAGACAGAAACTCGTTTCATACGATGTTTCCTCACTGTTTACCAGCATTCCGATCAATGAAGCCATTCCAGTTGTCAGAGCCAAACTGGGAAGTGACCAGAGCTTACCGGACAGATGCCCGTTAGATATCGCTCAATTATCTGTTCTACTAGAGATGTGCCTCTCGAGCACATACTTCACATTCCAGGGTGAATTCTATAAACAAAAGAAAGGAGCCGCAATGGGGTCTCCAATTTCCCCTGTAGTGGCCAATCTCTACATGGAACAGCTCAAGAGCAGAGCTCTGGACACCGCCCCCACCCCTCCAACTATGTGGTATCGATATGTTGATGACACGATGGCCAAGATTCACGAAAACGCCGTCGATTCCTTCTCAGAACATCTAAACTCCATTGACCAACACATCCAGTTCACTTCGGAACAAGAAAAGGATGGCAGGATTCCTTTCCTTGATACCTGTGTGAGTATTAACCAAGATGGTTCTACCAAGATCTCCGTGTACCGCAAACCTACGCACACGGACCAGTACCTAAACTTCCAGTCAAACCATCATCTACAACACAAAAGAGCTGTGGTTAACACCCTGATGTTGAGAGCTCACACCTTGGTTACGGAAAACGAGGACAGAACTAGAGAAACACAGCATGTCAAGCAAGCTCTAAAAATGAATAACTATCCAGAATGGATGCTAACAATACCACATCCAAAATCTACAACAGAAGATTCCGAAGAGCCTCAAAACGAGAAGAAAATCTATGTATCAACGCCTTACATCAAAGGTATCTCGGAACGCCTGCAAAGAGCGTTCAAGTCACACGATGTTACACTTATTCATAAACCCGTCAATTCTTTAAGATCACAATTGGTACGTGTCAAGGACACAACTGTCAATCTCAAGAAATGCGGTACTGTGTACCAGATCCATTGTGAGAAGTGTAACAAGGAGTACGTTGGCGAAACGGCCCGCGCTCTGGAAATCAGAGTGAAAGAACACCAATCAAGAAGTTCATCAGCTGTTCACGAGCATTGTCGCCTAGAGGGCCACTCGGTGGACCCAAATAAGATAAAAGTACTATCAACCGAAGTTAACACCTTCAAACGCAGGATAAAAGAAGCTATTCAAATTAAACTTACGAAACCGGCGTTAAACAGAGACAATGGTTACGAATTAGCAGCTATCTATGACACAATTCTAACCCCCAAGAGGCGTTAAAAAAAACCTTTTTTAAAATTCATCTTTTTAACATTCATATCATTGACTGATGAAGTCCGGTCGAAATACGGACGAAATATTTCATAAGTTTTAACTTTTAGCTCCGAGTTTGGAAAAAATTTTTAACTTTTGAATATAAGAAGGTCTTGGTAGAAAGGAACTGTACTTAAAAGGCAACAGAAGAGTAAGTTCAAGCGGGGGCGAGTTTGTCTGAGGGCGACTTTTTTTCCTACCACAATAGCCCCAGAACTGGACATTTTAGATTCTAGTAATGCAGTTAATTAATTATTATTGGTTGACTACATTTCTGCAGTGTATGCATCACCTAATGCATGATAAACATTAATTATTGGTGAAATTGATTTTAGTAACACTGCCTCGACCACTGAATATCTTAAATGATCCATGCACTCGGGACATGAAAGATGAGGATGTTCATGAAGGTGGTGATGTTGTTTTCGGCAGGGTTTCCTGGACCATTACCAGCTACGCCGACTTTTTAGCTCTCTCCAATTCTTTTCCTGTTGATAAAACGCAGAGATTGTTGGAACATTTATTTCCTGATCTGTTGACTGGTTAATCTGAAAATCCAGTAGCACTTTGAAACCTCTTAAACAGAAGAGAATGATTACTGATTGTTTTAACATTTAAAATTGCTTGAAATGTTCTCCAACCTTTATAAAAAGTTCTAAGCTTTTAAATAATGACTTAGGAGGTAAGTCTTTCACGTAATTCATTTCATTAAATCTAGTATAGTTGTAATAATTATCATTATTGTTATTATTATTATTATTATTATTATTAGTATAAGATACGGTAGTGCCCAAATATTTTTTTGATGGTTTTCCGAGATGAAATGAAGGATTATTAATAAGAATTTGAAAAACTCGAAAAGTCTAAAAACACAGTCATTTATTTGCCTCCGTTGATTGACAAACCGTCAATCAAATTAACTGATACTTGCGTCGGATATTTACTAGGATGTAGTAACATGTATACAAACTCTCAGAGCAATCGGTTAAATATCATCGCAATGAGAGCTTCATTAATTTTACATATTTTGACGCGGTTTCCTTGGTGAAAACCATGAAAATCCGGGAGGTGGTCTATCTCCACCCAGAAAATAACCGAAACAGAAACCAGTTTGTCTTTTTGAGTTTTGGGGTAAAACCTTTAAATTGGCAAGGTTTCAATGAAATCGGCGAGATTGCATGTGGCACGACTGCCTGGTGCTCTCGTGGACACACTCTTAAACCCAGTTTTACTAAACATTTTTTGCTGATGTAGTTAATTGAGTATTTCAGATTAGGCATATTGAAAAGAAAAGCTAGTGGCCTCTTGAAACTTCAGTTCTTCAGATCTCTGTTTCTGATTTTCATTCAATTAAACCAAGTTTTTCTAAACATTTTTTGTTGGTAAGAAGTATTGGAGTATAAGTTGTTTTCAACTCCTTCATCATCGCACTTCAAACGCGCCTTGACTCAGTTCAGAGAGGCTAGGAGTGGACCCCTTTCTAAAGTCAGCTCTGTTTATTACTCACGCCATTGAACCACTTTGTCTACCTGAATGAAGTAACTGGAGGTAACATTTGAAAATCAATGGATATTCGACATATATTGATCACTCATCCTCTCTATGTATAAGTTGTAATAGTTTTCTCTCTTTCTCTTTGCAATCCGCATCAACGTTCCAAAAAGTCTTGAATATATCTTTATAGAATTTGGGTTTAACACATTCATCGTGAAGAGCATCACATATGTCACATGCTGTATGTGTTAATCTCCACGTCCGTTCATAGACGAATTCTTTTTTCCATGTGAAGTATTCATTATAAGCGGTGTCATTTTTGTCGAGGTACAACAGGTATTCTGCCAAAGCCTTAACAGATGGAAAGTCTTGCACACTTATAAACGAGCCCGGAGGGACTATATCTGGAGTATAGAAATCTCTTGTCAGTGTTATAGGCACTGAATTCCAACCAAATGTACGCCAAAACTTCTCAGTAATGTAATCAGTACACACGCTGTTTTCAAATGCCAGATAAAATTTATATGTGCTGAAAATATCATCGCAATTGCTCGATAGCCGGCACCGATTGTCTTGGCCAAACTTTCCCGCACAGTGGCCATAAACATCAACTTTGATGTATTTAAGAAGTTTTTTTACGTACTTATCTCGAGTTTTCCCACAACTGGAAACAGCCCATAACACAGATTTGTTTTTCGCAGCTGCATAGTCAGGAATTTTCGCTGGTCTCTCAGCTGACGGCAAAGGAGCGTAATGTCCATAGGGAAAGTGAAAATCGGACTCCCTTTTGAAAGTTATTGTCCAATTAAAGAACCCCTCCGGCCATGGAAAAAGGTTCTTTAAACCTAGGTCATTGACGATGGATTCTCGGTTAAAAAACGCCATTCTTTGCTGTGGAGACCGGTACTTGTGAATCCGTTGAATTTCTTTCAATGTAACATAACGTCGTATATCACGAGCATGAAAAATAACTAGATCACTTTTTCCTACATCGTTTATATCATAGGTTATGTGGCATTTTTTTGTCGGACATTCCCAAAGATACTCTTCCGCGGAGTTGGCTCCGGGCCATGGCTTCCTACCAAACATAGGAGTGTAGAACAAAATGGTTTTGTTGTCATTACTGAAGCAAGTTCGATTGGAAGCAATTTCTGTCTTGTTGCTCCAAAACGAAGGCTCGAGGAGTAGATAGCTTGTTTTATTCCACAGTATCATGATCGAGAAAAATGATGAAATGAAAAGTATGCCCACCAGTAGAGTCGAACGCTTCATGAAGCAAAGCGGTAATATTCTTTCACTGATTCTTGTTATGCACATTCCCAAAAGATTTAATGGCAAAAACACAGACTTGCACGGGTAGATCTTGCTGTTCACTTTGCAGGCTTTTGGCTGGCACGTCTAGGTCTTTCAGGAGACTGAAAAACAAATTAGAGAGAGTTTTCATGAGTGCATCAACGTTTATGACTGAAAAGCTTTCTTGGAAACATTTAGGCGTTAGGAGTTTGCTAAAAGACAAAACTTGCATCTGCAAGAATTTTATTTATTTGCCACTCTAGCTTAAACAGGTTTTGGGAATATGAATGGAAATAATATGTAAGTTAGTGTGAACCTTGTCATATTATATTGCGATGAATAAAAACACGGAAGTCCAGAATGAACAAAACTGTATATTTTCATGCATTTTTTGGGGAAGAACATCGCAAATTGACAAGTTATGGTTTCAACAAATTGCGCATCGTCAAACAATGGCAATAGGACCGAGTGGAGTCCAATTCGGTCTGTAATCATACGAGTAATTAACAAAATCGGACGACCACGAAGCGGGACTGGTCCGATTTGTTAATCATGAGTATGATTACAGAGAGAATTGGACGATAGGACGTTGGATGGAGTTGTGTTACGTAGGAAAGTATTTTCGTCTGTGTGCTGCTTTCTTTGTTTTATGTAACCTTCCTCTTCCGTAGAAAAGATCTCCCGAGATACGTTTCTCAAACGTTGTGATTGACTGCTCGCTAGCCGGGCACGGTCCCAAGTAGACTAAATGCCCGGTAGTCAGAAATTTCCACCGAAAGGTTCTTTCAAACGTCATAGGAATATCAGATGTTTGTTTAGAAATGTCAAGCGATTCCAAATATAAACTTAGTTTTTTAGTGGACAAGTTCTCCGAGCTTGCACAGCAGTGCGTACGTTGGATAAAGTTGAAACAATCATCCTTGGTAATTTTAATGTCGATTATTCAGCAAAAAAAAAAAAAAACCCTTACCCTTACACAGATAATTTCAAGTCCACAAGAGTCAAGGAGACATCCAAAAGTATAATAGACTTGATTCTAGTCGATAGCAAGCGCAGAATAGTCCAGTGTGATGTTTTAAACTCGAGCATTAGTGATCACAATGCTATCTTTTGTGCGATGAAAGGAGGGTCTAAGAAATTACCGCTAAAGGTCTTTGAATATCGGTCTTTCAAAAGCTTTGAGGAGAAAGCATTCATTAATGACCTAGAACAAGTTCCATGGAGCGTAATTGAGGGAGTCGGTGCATTGACAATACTGTGTTTCTTTGGGAGAAGCTCTTTAAAGATTATGCAGATCACCACGCACCTATTAAATCAAGGCGCGTTAAAGGAATGTCAACTCCTTGGGTTTCTGATAAACTTTTGGAAGTGAGACGCGATCGTGACTTTCATCGAAGAAAGGCATTATCCTCAAACTCTCAGTATCATTGGGAAATGTATCGCAAATTGAGAAATTTTGCAAACCTGGAAGAGAGATCTCTCAAATCACAGTACTATTGTAAGCTAATTAAAGATGCAAAGAATGACGGCTCTTCGATATGGAAGGCGATCAAGCAAACTTTACCATCAAATCATATGGATACCAACGCCATCTTCTATAATGAAAAACTCCACACTAGTTCTATTGCTATTGCAGAGCATCTTAATCAACATTTCACGAACATTGGAAGATATCTTGCCAAGACGTTCCGCAATACATCGTCTGCGCTATCGAAAGATGTTACTGGTGCTTATGACTTCAAACTGAATCTGATATCAGAAAAGTTTGCCCATAAAGAATTAAGCAAGATGACAGCAAACAAAGCTATTGGTCTAGACAAGATCAGTGCACGACTTTTACGTGACGCAGCCAGGGTCATTGCCCCTCCGTTAACTTATATCATTAATCATTCCTCGAAGATTGGAAAATTTCGTTCTCATTGGAAGTGTGTGAAGGTAACTGTCCTCTTCCAACAAGGTGACGGCACAAATATGGATAACTATAGACCAATATCCGTACTTCCAACTGTAAGTAAAGTGATTGAAAGAGCAACGGATACACAACTCTACGCCTTCCTGGAGTCTCATCAATTACCTGTAGAGAATCAATTTGGTTTCCG